ATGGGCTGATTGAGCAACAGCCAACTTCTCCCGGTAACAAAGAGGAAGGGAAAGTAATCCAAACACAGGTTTTATTATAAAAACCAGGGAGCCGGAGAAGTATGTTTACTCTGTAAGATAACACACCTGCTCAGTGCCTGGGTGGCTCATTTCCATCAGTTGCCATGGTAAACTCGTTATACTTCAAGGCCATGTGGCTTTGTTTCCTTTGGAGATCTGGTCCTTGTCCTACCTTTTCTAACAACTCCAAACACAATGACATGGAAGCCTGCGACAGCATAATTGATTTCTCCTTCGCGCTATCAACATTTCACATTTGTTCAGAGCAGGAATGAGTCTGCCTTCTCCTTTGAACTCCATGCTAACCATGAAGGCTTGCTTCAGAGAGCCATCCTCATTAACATTCCACGTCCCCCTTCCCTGTCAGCAATAAACAAGCCCTGCATCAATGGCCCTCCTCCCAGTTTTACAAATGAGTGGCTCAGTTCCATGTTTTGCTGCTGATCCAGGTGCCCAGGCGTACAACATGGGGCTAAGAAGCGCGGGGGAGGGACTAAAAATAGAACAGCAGTTTTGGATGCATACCAGAGCAGCTACTTCATCTCAACTTGCTTTGCACACTAAGCCTAATGGGATCCATCAGGCAAGAGTTCTCTGTCTCCCGCACCACCCCCCTCCCTCTTTCCCCAGCTGCCTTCTACCATCAGCGCCTTCCTAGTGAAGGGAGCAAAGGGAGGTCAGACAAGGGACAAGAAATATGTGCCCTTGTGGTTATGGTTTACAGGTCCTGAGAGATTTGGCAGCTGCATTTATTCCTTTCATACAACTAGAGTTTCTGGAAAAGAGCAGGTAGGCCTAGACATGGTCACCTTTGCCCAGGTAACTTTGGTCTAAAACTTCAAGTACCACTTCCTGAACACCCAAGCAAGTGTGACCTAGACCCATGATCATATGTTCCATGAAAAGCTAAGAAGATACTTAATCTGCCCTCAGTAGTCCTCTTGAAGTCTCACCTGCTTAACTTGAAGTTAAGAATCTGGGATGGAGAGGCTGGGGCACACATGGGGGAGTTGGCACACCTGACTGCCCAGTCTGCAACACGCATCCACCTTTCATCATATCTGAAAGCTTTTCCCAATAGAAAAATGGAACAAATCAGCATAAAGTAACATGCTATCTTGCCTGGGCCCAAGGCTTCCCAGAAGGCTAGATGGAATGATTGAACTAGGTTCCTTGTGTTGTTGATGTACCTCTCCTTAAAGGGTTCCCTTCAGCTGGCCACCATTTCTGCCTGCAGGAGAAAGAGCATGACCACACATTCCTCATTTCTGTATTTGAAAGAGGTACAGATATTTCACACAGCTATGTAGTATTCCAACAATTGCCATGGAAATCAGAAATGTGAGGGAAAGATGAACATCACAGTTTAAAAAAAAACCAAAAACTCAATTTCATCGTTGTTGTTTTGGAGACTGGCCAGATGAAACTTAAAAGAATTTGATCTAATAGCAGATTTTGTCTGCAAGCTTCCTATGTCAAGACATTTAAAATTGTACCTCAGTTTAAAATAATACCATATAAAATAAAGAGGCCAAATCACTTCAGGAAAAGCCACACTAGTTATAATCATAGCCATAATTAACTCCCCATAGAATTTCCCACAGAACAAGTTGCAACACGATCATTTAATCCTCCAGCCACCAGAGGACAGAGGTGCATCTTCCCTCAGGCCTCCCACGTTCTAGAGGCTGTTTTCCTCAGGGAGACACTGGGTCATTTGTTGAACAAATCTACCATCAAAAACCAGAAAGCTTTCTAGCCTCATCAAATAAATGTCTGCAGAGCCAGGGCACCTGGGTCCCACCCCTAGGGTGAACTTTACCAAGTCAGTTTCTCTGGGCTCTGCTTTCCTTCATTATAAATCAAGGCTGAGAGATACATCGTTTCTAGAGTTCCTTCTAGACTGAAAATTCCATGATAGAAATGATCTAAGAATTCAATTTATTTTGGTGCTTTCTTGGTTTTCTTTCTTTTTTTTTTTTATTGGTTCATTGGTTCTGTTTATTAGATTGGTGGGCTCACATTGCATTATTTATCTTGAAAAATAGTACACATTTCTGCTTGGGGCTCTTTCCCCACAATCTAACCTTCTTTCTCTTTTCATTTGCCACTAGGAAGTGGGTCTCACTGATTCTTTTTGGTTCATTAAGAAGAAATGGAAAGACCCTATGTTTTGAGAAACTTGTTTTGGATCATTTCCTAGTGATCACAGGGTTTTGCAATCCATTTGGCAAAGGTGATGGTGACAATGGGGTGTTTGGCAAAGGACATGTGGTGGTTGACAGATTGCTTGGTTTAAGAAAAATGCTCTTGGCAAAACATCATGAAATCAGATCTAGAATATTCATATTGGAGAGCTTGCATCCTTTACTGAAATGACTCTAAGAAGTCAATCTAAGAAGTGATTTATTTAGTAGAAAAAAAAGAGTCAAAAACAAAAACAAAAAATTTTTCTGAGCTTGAGTCTAATACTTTGATTGTAGCTATGCACTGAGATGTCTTTGAAAAAACATAGAAGTTAAATTAAACAAGCAGGTATTTTGAAATCAGTCACTAAAATTAAAAAGGATGTGTTAAATCAATTACTATTAGACAAGAATCTAACTGCATTCTGCATACACACCGCCCACCCTAAAATCAGTTTGGTTCTGGGTAAAGTAAAAAATGATTTTTACTAAGCCAGCCTTATCTCACTTCTACCCCAGAAATATCTACAGATGAATTCATGAGGACCAGGATTGTTTTTGTTGTTGTTGTTGTTGTTAAGTGCCATCGAGTCGGGTCCGACCCATAGCGACCCTGTACAGGGTTTCCGAGGGTGTAAATCTTTACGGGAGTAGAAAGCCTCATCTTTCTCCCGCGGAGCGGCTGGTTAGTGCCGGAATAAACCAGTGCTAATTTTAGTGTCAAGGAGCCCTGGTAGCATAGCATAGTGGATTATGAGCTGGGTCAGTAGTTCGAATCTACCAGTCACCCAGAGGGAGAACAAGGAGGCTTAGCTCCACTATCAACATTCTCGGTAGTCAGGAAATCAAACGATGCCCCGCATTAGTCAAATCTGCTGTACAAGACCTCTTTAAGATAGCAGTTTGAGGACTAAGGTATGCCTGACCCAAGCCTTGGTATTTACAATAGCCTCATATGCATATGAAAGTGGACAGTGAATAAGGAAGACCATAGAAGAACTGATGCATTTGAATTATGGTGTTAGAGAAGAATATTAAAAATACCATGGACTGCCAGAAGAACAAACAAATCTGTGTTGGAACAAGTACAGCCCGAATGTTCCTTAGAAGCCAGGATAGCAAGACTTGATCTCTCATACTTTGGACATATTATCAGGAGGGACCAGTCCCTGGAAAAGGATATCATGTTTGTAAAGTGGAGGGTCAGTGAAAAAGAGGATGTCTCCCAACGAGATGGATTGGCACAGTGGTAGCAGCCGTGGGCTCAAGCTTAACAACTGTGAGGATGGCACTGGACCGGGCAGTTTTTCAAAACTGACTCGATGGCACTAACAATAAATAACAAAAACAATCTTGTTCTTTATTTACAATGATCCTGCCTTGGTCTATAGTATATGTATATTTTTATATACTGGTGTGGTTTAATTTTTTTGGCCATCAGATGAGCAAACCATATACATAAATATATTTTCCAAGATTATTAATCTGAAAGCATTATTGAAGATAATTTTTTTCAAGAATATAAAATATCCCTGCTAAGAACAATATGGTAGCGTAGTGGTTACGAATCGGGCTGCAAACCTTAAGGTCAGCGGTTCGAAACTACCAGCCGCTCCGCGGGAGAAAGATGAGGCTTTCTACTCCCGTAAAGATTTACACCCTCGGAAACCCTGTACAGGGTCGCTATGGGTCGGACCCGACTCGATGGCACTTAACAACAACAACAACAAAGAACAATATAAATTTTTTTTTTTATCTCCTGGAGATAAACTTATTAAAATGAAAACTCAGTATGGCTGAAAAGAGCATTAGAATTTCAGTTCGACACTACAAACCTTGTAGGGTTTTTTTGTCCATGTCATTTGATAAATGGGTGAGTACCCTGAGTCACAAAAGTGAACATCATAAAAATTACAAAGCTAGTTAGGAACACAACCAAGGGTAGAATACAGATCTCCCAAACCACACTTCTAGCTTGTACTCTTCACCCTCTGTCACTTTGTATGTGCCCATAAATATTTTTACATATATACTCAGACCCTAAGAACTCTGATCATACTATTTAAAATCATGGTTGTATGCTGTTCAAAGTTGTTCTGTAAGAAGCTCCACTGCAAGTATAAAGCTTTTGCGATTATGTTAAAAGGAGCTGTTTACCTGGCTTTAATCCTTTAATACACAGTAGTCTGTTACATTTATCTAATATTACATGTAAGCAGCTTTGTTAATGCCTCTGGAAGTAACTGCCCATATCATTATAAATTACTATCTGTCTATCTCCTTTGAGATCAGTGAAACACAGTCTTACAAAAAGTCAACATTTTATTTGTACACGAATTAGTTTGATCTGAGGGAACACAAGTATCTGTCTAACTCACCAGAGTAGCCTAAGTGTTAGGAGAGTGTAGTTGTTTACATTTATTGAAACATCACTTGTATTAGCTCTGTGCTAAGCACAGAGGCACTTTAGAATGGACACTTCAGACTGTAAGGAGGAACACATTGGGCCTCAGCTCCTGCAGTGGGTTTAAGTAGCAGGGAGTGCAAGGCAGTCACAGCCTCCACTTCAAAACTGGCTGAACAGAAGTCTCAGGAGAAAGAGTACTTGTACCACAGGTTTACAGGGTCTGGAGCCCCCTCACAGAGGGACCCACAAGCACACAGTCACGAGTGCCAGCAACCAGCCTCAGCTAGAAGAACAATGTCAGATGAGGGCCCCAAACATGGCAAGGCCCCAGTGACGGGGATGAACTGTCACAAGGGCACTATCTGAAGGGTGGGCAGAGGCCCCCGGGGTGGGGCCACATATTCTTCTTCTCTCAGCAGCCGCAGCAGGATGTTTTTCTTATTCTTGGGCCAGCTGTAGACGTGAGTGTTCTGAAGCCAGGTGGGCACATGTTCCTACCAGAGAAAGAATGACATGAGCAAAGGCCATGAGAGAAAAACCTGGATTCCAGATCCCAGGCTTGGTTTTCAAATGTCTACTGCTTTTCCTTCATGGATGTCTCCTAGCAGAGCACCCTGGGAGTTACGCTGTTTTGCTCTTGGAAGGGGTTCACATGCGAAATGCTTTTGGCTTCACGTACAAGCTGTACATCTCGTTATGGAAGCCACATGTTCACAGCATGTTCTGTCCATCTCCCAGGCTACCTGCCCTCCACAGAGCCACGTGCTTTTCACCACCCTCACATAAAAGGGGCAGGAAAGAGGTCACACCGAGTGAGGTGAATCCCCCTTTGACTCAGAGAGATGTGTGCCAAGGCTCTGGGAGTGATCAGATGCATTATCCTTTCACAGCAGCCTCAGGTCTGGCCTGCAGGAAAAGGAGCGGATCAGACCTCAGTTACGAGACAAAGGCATAGACTGTGAGCCAGGCCCTGGGAGTGCAGTTTCAGACTGCCCTCATGTAGCTGGCATTCTGGTGCGGGGGAGACCTAACGAGTAGTAAAACACATAGTATGCTTGATACACACTGAGGAGAAGAAAAAAAAAAAAAGCAGTGAATGGGGTAGAGAATGCTGGGGCAAGACCAAAAAGTTAAATCGCGTGCTCAGGAAAAGTCTCACTGAGCAAATGAACAAAGGCCTAAAAAGACTACAGAGAATCAACTTTGTGGGTATTCAGGTCCAGGCAAACAGATGAGCTAGTGCACAGGCTGGTCTGTTCAAGGAGAAACAATGCCAGGGTGGCTTGATCAGAATGAGTGAGAAGGAGTACGAAGCTCTGGAGGTAGACAGAGTCTTGGAGGTCACTACGAGCCCTATGAGTTTTACTCTGATGAGATGGGGGCTTCATGTAATTATAAACATTTTTTTGAATACCCATCTATCAGGCATTATACTAGATACTGAGAATGCCCAAATGAGAATGACAGAGCTACTGCATTGCAGAATTCAAAATCTAGCTAGGAAGGCAAACTATAAAGCAATTGTATTCTAGGCAACAGTATACTAAGGACAAGGAATGGGAACACTCTGTCCCAAGTCCAGGCAATAGAGGATTGTCTGGTGAGGAATCAAAAACAGTAATAAAACCAACTAAAAATCGGTCTGTTTTTTATATCACCATGCGCCAGTAATTCTAAACAATTATTCCCATGTATCAACTCCCAACTGTATACCACTGACTCAAGGTACAGCAATTAAGAGCTCTCTAGAGAGGTCAATTAAATAAATCGGCCTGAGGGAGGAGAGGTCAGGATAGGCTAGAAAGATTGGGTGAAAACGCACAAGCTCACTAGGCAGACAGGTCAGGGAAGGGTCTTACAAACAAGGGAAGAGACGGTGCATAAGCACAGAGACATAAACGAGCATGGTGTCGTGAGGGCATGCTAAAATAGTCCAGGATGACCAGAGCATGCAGCCTGTGTGAAACATGCAGGTGACAAGAGAGGAGGTTGAGCTAGGGGGTACAGTCCACTTCTGAGGGGCCCCATAGGTCACACCAAGGAAGGTGAACAAGATCCTAGAGTCAGTGGAAAGCCTCCACAAAATGAGTAAGGTGGAGAGAGATCAGATCTACATTGGGGTGATAGAGAATAGCAAAGCTAGGGTCAAAGTGGAGACAGGGAAGCCGGTAAGAAGACTCTTGCAGTCTATAGGGGGAAAGGAGCCGGGCAAGGTGCGTGGGGCTGGAAAGGCATGCTATTGTACAGGTTGTGATCTCTACCACCCTATGTGCCTCAGTCACATAAATTGGATTCTCCTCCAACTAGACCAGGGGTCTCTATGCAGTAGTCCTGACATCTAGGATCCTTTCGGGTAAGTCTGGGTCTGGGCTTAGGGTGCTGTGGTCTGATTCCCAAGATTTTTCTTCCATCACTGCCTTCTCTTTGCCAGGCTTGGTAGATGGCCTCAGGTGGTTTTGCCCCCAATCTGCTTGCCTATCTTTCCAGTTCAAAGAACCCTTGTATGCACCACAGTAGAGTCCACTCTGGGAATTGTGTAGCTTGAATTCCTGTTATTCTAAGGTTAGAAACTTGAACTATGCGCAACAAAATACTTCCGTGGCACAGCGAGCATAAAGTGCACGCATCTTGACTTTTATATGCCAAAGATAAGAAGTATCAGATGAACAGTCTCTCTTTCTCTCATGAGTTAAAAACACAGACTACTTCTTTGTGTGAGGTGGCTGTCTGAACAATTAGGGCAGTGATGGTCCTATCGGATAACACTTTAAAGCTTTCCTGATTCATGCTGCTGAACTGAGTTGTACAACTGATTGATCTTTCCAGTAATACTGCTATTTCTAAGGAGGGATAAAGAATTTGACATGGTTTTCCACCTAAATTTCCAGATGGCAGGATAAACCCAAGACTCTTAACTATAAGGTTTTTGTTTATTTGTTTACCTTCTTAGCATTTGGGAAGAGCACAGGGATGAATCTGAAATTCATACTTCCTTGTTTTATGAACTCAATCTGCATCTGGAACCAAACAAATATGAAGGATTAATTTCAGGAATGAGGACAAGGAGGTTGTGGTAACCATAATCATGCAAAATCTGCTGCAAAAGACCTTTTTAAAGTGTTAAATGCAAAGATGTCACTTTGAGGATTAAAGTACGCCTGATTTAAACTGTGGGTATTTTCAATTGCTTCATATGCACATGAAAGCTAGACAATGAATAAGGAAGATCAAAGAAGAGGAGAATTGATGCATTTCAATTATGGTATTGGTGAGGAATATTAATTATGAAAGAACAAAAAGTACAGCCAGAACGTTCCTTAGAAGCTAGGATGGTGAGACTTCATCTGACGTACTTTGGACATGTCATCAGGTGGGACCGTTCGAAGGACATCATGAAACAGAGGATTGACACAGTCCCCTCCAACAATGGGCTCAAACATAGTGACAATTATGAGGGTGGCATGGGATCAGGTGGTGTTTTTTTTTTTTCTGTTGTACGTAGGATCACAATGAGCTGTAACCTTCTCAACAGCACCTAACAACGTCATCATGCAAGCTGACATGGGATTTTTATTCTGATTTCTTTATCTGAGTGCCAAACACTTATAATTTTAAGTCCTCCTCATTACACATTTACACCCTCGGAAACCCTATACAGGGTCGCTATGGGTCGGAACCGACTCGATGGCACATAACAACAATAACAACAACAACATTACACATCTATGTTATACATTCACTCATCAGTCATTTATTGAAGGCCTATCAAAAGTCAAAGGAGCTCTGGTAGCATAGTGGTTACAAATCGGGCTGCTAATCTCACGGTCAGCAGTTCAAAACTACCAGCTGTGTTCCATGGGAGACGATGAGGCTTTCTGCTCCCATAAAGACTTACAGCCTCAGAAACCCTGTACAGGGTTGCTATGAGTCGGAACCGACTCCACAGCACATGACAACAATAACATCAAAAGTCAGATGACTGTGCTGAATTTAAAGATTTAGGAGATCTTCCCAGCTATGCTGGAGGTAGTAAGCATCAGTTTACAAGAGCCAGTTGTATGCATCTCTTCCTAATTCTGTGTTTCGTGATTTCACATGGTAACCTTGAAATTGGTCATGGTAAGAGTATACCATAGCAGCTGGCAAATGGTACAAATCAGGTGTTGTGTTGTTGCTGTTGGGGTTTTTCTAAAGTCAACAGTCTATTGAACAGACAGAAAGGTAAATTACCACCCATAAAGCAGGGTGAAAAGTATGAAGGAAACACTGCGACAGCTCAGAATGGACGTTGTCCATTCTACACTGGGGGTGTGAAGTACAGACACAAGAATAGTGTCATTTGGGTACTGTAAGAAAAATTTGGTCAGGCAGGAAAGGTAGGGGTGAGGGGAAGGACTTTCTCAGTAGAGGAAACAGCATGAGCAAATGTCTGTAGATGTGAACGTGTGTAGTATAGTCGGCTACAGGCCAGTCATCCACTGTGGGGACAGCCTAGCATAGGGCTCAGGAGAGAGGCAGAAGATGAGGCGGAAAGGTGAGTTGTAACGAGCTGTCTGCCAGGCTTTAGATTCCCCACACCAGTTCCAATTTTCTCTGATCCTATGATGGCCTAGGGAGATTTAGCTGCCAAGAACACCATCAAACCCAATTTTCAGTACAAGGAGAGTTAGAATCTTCCAAATCCTGTGAACAGGACAGAGCTTTCAATCTTCTGATGACAAGGAGATGAAGAATTATGTGTTCCCAACTATTTCATGTTCCAATTGATTTTCGTAACTGAGAAATCTTCATCGTGCATGGGCACGATGTAGTAACAGAGGTGATGACTGACTATTGAAATCACCATAGAAACCCCTCTTAAATATATATACACACACACATCAGATTCACATATACAATCACACATAGATGTTTTACAAGGTGTTTTCTCATCAACACCAAAAGCACCACCAAGTATTGTGCAACTGAACATACCAGCCACACCAGTACTGAGTAGACCTATGAAAGGAAGGATGTAAAATTAGCCATTTAAATGTGAAGACCTTGATTTAGTTTCTGACTTCCAGAACATTACTCTAAAATTTGGTTTGATCACTAGGTTACTCCATCTGTTGAGGGGCCAGCAAGTCACAGCGTGTTTCCATTCTCTGGCTCTCAGACTTTTGGATGTTGGCTTTCTGAGATTCGGGTTTGTTAGTAAGTGCTGTATGATGAACTCTTCTCATCTCAGTCACGGCCAAGTTCTTATGGTCCTAAAGTTTTCTGTTGTTGGGGGTGTGTGGGAGGATAGGAAATCAGCAAAGTGTGCGGGAAGGTGCTTCTGTATATATCTGGCTTCAACCCCGAAGTTTAAGGGTCTAAGACATTGTTGCCCTAAAAGACCAAGTTTGGAGATAATCTAGTTCATGGCTGGACACAGCCAGCTAAACTCTGAGGTTGTAATGCTGTATGTTACTGCCTGGCTTTGCCACCCACCAGCAGAGCTAGACATATTTGCTCAGGACTAGCACAGATCTGGAGCTTGTCTTCACAACCAGCTGTCGGTTCCTGGGACTTGTAGGTTCCTATAGGACATCCGGTGCTCTGGGGCCAGGCAGACAGCTAAGGGATGGCAGCGCCTAGAGGCAGTCCTGAACTTTTAGGGCAGTTTATTTCCAGAAATGGCAACTTTTCTGGGTGCTTCCAGTCTGGGGTAAACCTGGGATAGGAGAGAGACTTGCCAACTTCTCCTGATTCCTTGGCTTCCTACTTTGACCTCACCACCTTGCCTTGAGTTTTACTTCAGCTTGCTTTTGAGCTCAAACAGTGGTCAGCACTTGGTGAAAGAGATGACAGTGACCCTGGAGACCCACATGGAGAGCACTCATCCACCAACCCACCCTTTTTCTATGCTCTTGATGCACAGGACAGACCTGGGGTTTAAGATGCCCCCTGAGTCAAAACTGCATGCCCTGTGGTTGGCCTGGACTGCCGCTTGCTTTGTGCCAACTACTTATTTCATTTGGAACACTTGTGCTTCCTGTCTCATCTCTCCACCTCAATCATTGAGTCTTTATTGTCCATGCTGTGTGCTTCCCTCCACCCATGCGGAGTGTTTACAGCTGAAAGGAAGCTTAAAAGTTCTGTTGTTTTGTTGTTAAAGTGCCGTCGAGTCGCTACTGACTCATAGTGACCCTGTAGAGGGTTACAAGTTCTACTGTAGTGATTTTTCAAGCTTTTTAAAATCTCAGAATTCTTGGTAAAAAGACAAGGCTGAGGAACACAGAGATAAGGGGGGGAGGTCCAGAGCCACCCACATCCCAGTACCTATGAAGACCCCATTGTTGTTGTTAAGTGCCGTTCAGTCAGTTCTAATGCATATCAACCCTGTACAGAGTTTCTGAGGAGCAGCTGGTGAGCTTGAACCACTGACCTCGTGGATCAAATCGACTTTGCAGTCCAGCACATTAACCCAAGTGTCACACCAAGACCCCATTATGGACACCATAGTGCAGGTTTAAAGTCATGAGTCTCATGCAGCATCCTAGTCAAACAGGAACTGTCTCCACAACATCCCTACAGTCAAGGAGAACATGAAGAATGAATGTTATTTTACCAAACAACCAGTACCAAGGCTGGGTGACATTTTTGTCAGAATGTTTGACCAAGATGCTGAGCAAATTGAATTTCCTGCAGGTTTTCGTTTGACCAGGCCATTCATGGGTGGCCGTAGAATATTCTTATCTCATGAACTACTAACAATTTCATCTTTTGATTGAACATCTGGTTTGTGCCTGATTCTTTACAGACATATCTCATTTAATCTTCAACACTGCTATGTAAGACACTGAGGCACAAAAGTTTAAGTAATTGTTGGTCCATGGCCACTGTTATGAATTGAATTGTGTACCCACAAAATATGTGTTGTAAATCCTAACCTCTCTGCCTATGGCTAAAGGAGCTCTGGTAGCGTGGTGGATTACAAATTGCACTGCCAACCAAAAGGTCAGCAGTTCTAATCTAGCAGCTGCTCTATGGGAGAAAGCTACGGCTTTCTGCACCTGTAAAGGTTTACAGCCTCAAAAACCCTATCCTGGATCTCTATGAGTTGGAACCAACTCTACGGCACATAACCAGCACCAACCAATCATGCCTATGGTTAAGGAGCTCTGGTGGTACTGTAGGATAAGCACTGGCCTCTTAACCATAAGGTGAGCAGTTTAAATGCACCAGCAGCTCTGAGGGAGAAAGATATGACAATCTACTCCTGGTTTGGCACTGTAGGAAATGCACTGGACCACAAGGTTGGTTTGAATCCTAAAGTCAGTGGTTCAAATTCACCAACCACTCCTCAGAAGCCTTTTACGGGGTCATTATGAGTAGGGATAAACTAAATGACAGCACTTAACAACAACAACAATTCCATAAAGATTTACAGTGTTGGACAGAAACCTTATATAAGGTCACTGAGATTCAGAATCTACATGACTGCAGTGAGTTTGGAGATGCCTGGAGTTATAATCCCATTTGGGAATGGGTTGTCTTTGTTATGTTAGTGTAGGCTGTGTCTTGTGAGCCAATCTCTTTTCAGATATTGTTGTTATTGTTAAGTGCTGTTGAGTCAGTTCTGACCCATAGCGACCTTGTGTAGGATTTCCAAGGAGCGGCTAGTGGGTCTGAGAGGCCGACCTGCTGGCTCAGACTGACCTTGCAGTCCAGTGTATTAATAGAAGGGATTACAGACAAGTTAGGACCCCTGGTGTGGTGCTGTAGGATCAGAATTGGACTTAGAACGACAAGGTTGGCAGTTCAAACCCACCAGTTACTCCTTGGGAATCCTATACAGGGTTGCTATGGGTCAGAACTGACTTGATGATTTAACAACAATAACAAATACAAGTTAGCAAGGAGAAATGAAGAAAGAGATGTCAACCACATTAAGACATCCCAGGAGCTCAGAAGAGACAATCAAGAGCTGAAAAAGAGAGTCTTCCCACAAGAGCCTGTCCCTTTAATTCAGAATAAACTGTGAGAAATAAATTTCTGTTTTTTTTTAAAGCCACCCACTTGTATTGCTGGTGTAGCTGCACTAGACAACTAAAACAGCCACCAAGCCTGTTCATGAGGAGGCTGAAGGTAAATGAAGTTCATCTGACTCAACAGCATGTATACTTTCATTTGGTCCCTCTGCCTTTCTGAAAAGGCAGGGATCCCGCCCCACAACACACACACACACACACACGCACGCGCACGCACACGCACACACCTGCCTCTCACCCCTCCTAGGACTTTACATGTGTTGTGAACAACCGAACCAGCAGAGCACTGCTTTCCAGAATTTTGGAGTTTAGAGTTCACAGATTAATGTCTCCTAGTCAGCAGGTAGAAACTACCAGCTGTTCTGTAGGAGAAAGATGAGACGTTCTGCTACTGTAAAGATTTACAGCCTCAGAAACCCTGTACAGGGTCACTATGAGTCAGAATCGACTCCACGACACACAGTCAGCCAGCCAGCCAGTTACTGATAGAAGCACTGAGTCACAGAGATGTGGTGATTTGCCCAGGTGTCCCAAGGTAGATGCCCTAGGATCCTTCACTTGGGCTCAGTGGGGAACAAAGGTGCTCACCCATCTCTGAGGCGTGAGGTGCTGGACTCCTTCCCCACTCACCATTCGATAGATGTACTTAGTATGTAAGCCGTGTTCATCATCGTCCAGCTGCGACTCAGCGCCTTCCACATCCTGTTTGTATTTGGGGCTGATAGCTATGATTATCATCACTGTCTTCTGTTAATGAGAGGCAGAAAAGCATGTTTACCGGAGTGTAAAGTGTGGCCCATTTGGCGAAGGCAGGCTGGAAACTGACCAGCAATGGCTGTAAGCATTCTCTGATATGCCCTGGACGGAGGGCCAGGTTCACTCTCCCAGTGAAAGGCACTGGCCCTCC